TTACATGAGCTAAGCGAACAAGCACCGCAGTCCGAAATGATAACAACGGTGCTAATGTTTGTATTAATAGTAAAGTATTAATTATAAATTGGCTTTGTAGTGTAGTACGAGACAATCAGGTACCAAAAAAATTAACTTTGCTGTCATTATTTAGCTTACATAATATCTAATGTATTTGTTTTATTGACTGCACTGAAAAACAAGTAAGTCAAAAATGACAGGTTGAGCTAATTATTACCCCCGATTTTTAGATTATTACAGCGATTTATTTTTTTTAAGGGGAGGGGGAGTAATGACTTCAGTAAGTAAGTTTCCATACAGTCCTCTTATTTTATTTTATTAACTTTTTTAACTGCGTGCGTAACTTTAAAACGCCTGAGCCGTATAACATTGCACCGGTAGTGCGCCTGTCAGGACAAACTCCGGGAAACAGTCCTGATTTCAGGGAGGGAGGAGTTACATGACGTCGACGCTTTGACGTGGAGTGTATGACGAACGGGGAAATAAAAGTAAACAACGCCTAGGATAACGAAAATGGTTTTTGGCGTTAGTCCCCCAAGCTTAGACGGAACCTGTGATTTTTCTGAGGCTTTGTTGATCATGTATGAAGGCTTTGTTTTCCGATAAGGACAGAGGCAGGCTGAAAACTGGTAAGACACCAGTAGAGTCGAGATGAGTCGGGTGCGGCATCCGCTAATGATAGCTTAGTTCAACATGGCAGTTTCCTGTATTGTATGAAATTGTTTACAGGATGTAATGCTCTCACGACCGTTGCTAAAAACAAGTCCTCAACGTCAGGACTGTCTGACGACCAAAACACCACCTTAGGCCCTCCCCCATACTTTCTTGTATTTTAGTTGCTATTTGCCTAAGTGTGTTGGCGTGTTTTCACTTATTAATTTCAGATTTAGCTATGTTAGCCATCAGATCGTCAGAGGAGGAGTCCACTGAGATTGAGGAGATGGACACCTCAGAGCCCAACTGGTGCTGGTTCTACTTGGCTGAGTGTGGAGTGTGGCATATGTTTGAGGTAGTTCACATGATACCACAACTTTATACACAATAGCAGACTTTGTAACTGGCTTTACTCTGTACGCCCAGCATATCGCCCCTCCTTTGGTCGTATTTTGCCAGACTCTGCAGGTTTTCATTCTCCCTTTTAGCTCATCAATACATTTATAGGAAAAAGAAAAACAAAGAAAAAACATTGCCTTGGGTTGATTGTAGGGAGGCAAAAAAACTGGCCATCATGTGCCAGCAAACTGCCATTCTCATTTCCAAACACTACATATGTGTTAAACTGCAATTAAAAGGAATTTAACAATGATGCATCAAAAATCCATGAACACATTTAAAATGTGTTTTTCTGGTTTATCAGTTTCTGACAGCGAGTTACACTCAGCTGTCTTATTTATCCCACCAGTAGCTCAAACCTCCAAATATATATGTATCGATTTACAAGACAAGCTTCAAGTCAAACCAAAGAATTGATGTTTTTTCAGATAAATTTTAAGCCTTTGACCTAAATAAAGAATCAACTCTCTTAACTAACTGTTAATTAACTGATTGGCTGGTTAACCCTTTTTTTTTCCCTTTTATTTTCCTGTCAGATTGATCCCAGTGCAGCCTGCTCTGTGACCAGCGCTCAGATTGAGCAGTGCTACAACAGGAACCAGCGTGGTGTGATGGAGTTTTACACAGCCAAGTACACATACAGATTGGACTTCTCAGGTGAAAACTCATGAGTTAATTAAAGTAATTCTAAAGGTACTTTATCCAGGCTGAGAGTGTTAAAGCTTTTTTAAAGGAAATCCCGTCGCATCAGTTCTATTGAGGATAAGTTAGTTTTTCTGTTGTTTATTTTGTTAAAGAAATTGCACATGAACACCTAATTGTCATTAAATCCCCAAACAGTTATGCGACAGATAAATGTAACAACAGGAAAGCAACGGCCGATCAAACGTTCCCTCCACTCTGCAACTGGATTTAGGTAAGATTTGATGGTTTGAGTGTACATCCAGAGAGCCTTTTTATAATTTGGTTTTATTTACTTGCTATCATGGAAAAGTTATGTTAAAGGGGTTTAAGAAGACCATGTATTAAATGGAAGTTTAGGGGTCAAGCATCTCTTGTCCTTAAAATCCTGGAAATGAAAGTAACAAAAGAAAAGGGAACAATTGCCTTTTTCCCTCCTTTTTTTCGTTTTTCTTTTTTTTTTGCAAGCGTTGAATTATTTTTGTGTGAGCATAAAGCAAACACATCCATTCTCATTCTGATGCAGTGATTGGTTTACTGACTCTTCTCCTTTGCTGATCCTCCCAGGTTTATTTGTGATAATCTCGCCTTGCCTGTTCCCTGTCACTGGGAAAGAATAAACACAGATGAGCCCTATCAAGTGAGTACAGAAGTACGGAAACACATCTTATTGTTCCACTTAGCTTCGTTCACACATGTTTAGTATTGAGACGATACCTTTATGTTCTTTTGATTTCTGATGTAAAAATAGTGGCAGACTGGTCAAAACTTTTAGACAGGTGTGCATGTGATTGTATGCGGTGTTTTGTCAGTCCAGAAGTTCCCAACTTTGTTCAGTCTGAGGTCAAACATTTGCAAATGAGAGAGAAAAAGCGGAATATGAAACATACTGCAGAAAAGGGTAGAGCTGTGTGAGTGTTTCTTGCCTTTGCAGCTCATCCAGCTTGGCAGAGACACATATGAATTTAAAGAAGTAGCCAGACTGTATGAAAGAACAATGGATCATCCAATTAAATCCATCCAGAGGATCCAGAACCTGGATTTATGGGAGTTCTTCTGCAGGTAGAATATTATTTTCTACATTTTTGTGAGGAAAAATATTTCCTTGTATATACTGCCTTAATTACACTTAAATTGCACTCCATTAGTGACACTGGGAAAATTGTAAATTCTAGTTTTCCCAAACTTCCAATAAAGATGCTGGCTTTTTTCTTAGCATAAATTAAAGAATTGAACTGAATTCCATGAATCCACCCCTTTCAGCCGATGTCTTCTTCAAGCTCGTCTCCTGTGCACAATGTGCACTTGTTTCTAGATCATTTCATGGAAATTGCCAGTATGCATCTGTAATTCACACTGGATCACCTGCACTGTGTCAAAAAGGCATCTCTTCAACTTGAATGTAATTTAATTTTCATTTTATAAAGGAAAACAAAGTCTTTTGAATAGGGCAAAGGAAGTAAAACTCCTGCTTTTACAGTGCTGGCTGTGTGGGCATGCAGTGGCATGTTGGCAACCGCTACAGTTCAGGGTGTTTGTGCCAAATTTTTTCTCAAAAATGCCCCAGAAATGTAATGCCAGTTTGACCCCGTGGGACGCGGTTGAACAAATTAATTCACTAAAAGGCATTGGTTTATACATATACCTCCGAAAACGCTTTGTGATTGGGAGGTTTCTGAGCTGGCTGCTCATTCCGGCCTCCTAAAAAGGCAGAGGACTTTTTCTTTTTTCTTTTTTTTTGTTTGATAATAACCATTCAGCGGAATTGGAACCTTATCCACTTCAAAGCCCACGTTTGTACATATTTCTTATAAATTGTTAGATTAAACTTACCTGCATTGCATTATATTCACCTCGTGGGGAATCCACGAGGTGAATATAATGCAAGGTGACTGGGTCAGAAACAAAAGCTGTTTTCAGTCTTTTTCACTTGCTAGCACATCCTAACCTGTCAACACACAATAAATTACTATACTGTTGTTATTATTATTGTTCTTATTGTAAACATATATGTATTGAATTTTGTATTCATAAACATCCAACACATTAAACACCTTAAACATATGGCAGTAAGAAAGCACTAAGAACACAAGACATTCAAAAAACAAATAAAAAAATAATTTAAAAAATAATAATATTAATAATACTAAAGGAAATTAAAAACAATATAAAATAAAATACAAAAAAAGTACAGGATAGTCTATACTGTATACATTCCCAAATTTAGTTGCATATTTTCATTGCTTCACTCTCTCTCCAGTTCCTCAACGTGTCCAGTCTTTAATAGCTCCAGAAAAATCAAATAATTCTGATGATCTTTTCCTAACCACATAGGTCAGTTTCTATTATTGTTCTCATATTGTTATTGTTTTAATGGTACTTATATTGCACCTTTCGGCTTAAAATAGTACTTTACAAGTGTCGTTCACCCATTCACAAATACATTCATACACTTCTTTTATCTATACCTAAGCCCTTTCTCACATTCACACTGCGACTGATGTATCAGGGTCAACTCGGGGTTTGGTGTCTTGCCCGAAGATAATTCAGCATGAAAACTGTAGGAGTCAAGGATAAACCAACTGGCCTTCCAAGTCTGTAGACAATGCGCTCTACCACCTGAGCCACAAGTGCTAGAGACTAGGGGCATTGGTGCAAGGTATTCATCTTCACAGCTGACAGCCCACAGCCATTTCCAAACTGTTTAATGCGTTTGAATTTAATTGAAGTTTGCTTTCTGCACTGTGTACAAGTGGTCCAAGCAGGCCTTCCAGGAAATGATCTAAAAATAGCAGCAGTACTGGAAGTGATATAGAGGTGCACAAGGTGAAAATCCTGAATTGCATAGATGGGGCAAAATTTAAATTGGGTATGATTTTTGCTCTTCATGGGAAAAGTTGCTTAACTTTTCACTGATCAAACTTTGTACAGTCGTGCAGTATCAAAGTCATTATTTGTTTTATGTTGTCATTCCTTGGTGCTCCTCTAAGGAAGAAAACACAGTTGCGAAAAGTCAAGCGAACACTGGATATTGAGGAGCGAATGCTGTTTCATGGCACGGGACACAGCAATATACAAGCTATATGTACATTTAACTTTGACTGGCGGCTCACAGGAAGCCATGGCGATGTCTATGGCAAAGGTAGATCTTTTATGTTGTATCATGAAAGACTTTGCTACTCTCCTTTTGTCCAGTTTTAACATTGTGCTCTTGTCTTTCCTGCAGGGAGCTACTTTGCCCGCGATGCCAAATATTCCAGTAAATTCTGTCACACCACAGGGAAACACAACACGACCTTACAGAGACATGGACTCGCACCACCGATATTTGCGAGTGAGCCGCCTTATAAGACCATGTTCCTGGCCAGAGTGCTTGTTGGAGAATACACAGTTGGTCATCCAATGTACTGCAGACCACCCTCTAAGGATGCCAGTTTCACCAACTTCTATGACAGTTGTGTGGATGATATGGCCAATCCAAAGATCTATGTCATTTTTGACAGTAATCAGATTTATCCAGAGTATCTGATTGAGTTCTACTGATGCCTAAGAAAATGATGCCAACTTTTTTTTTTAATAAAGGCTGGAAAAGCTAGGATATGAAATTAGATGACAGGATAATTGATTTCCATGACTGAATGGAGCATGGGTCATCTAAGTGCCTTTGAAGAAGTTGGTAAGACAGTAAGGACTTTGTGTCAAATTGTATACTGTACAGCATACATAATTGGACCCAGAAGTTAGAACGTTTCCATGACTTCAAAAGATGCTAACCGAAGACAGTCTTTGTGCTGTTTTTATCTTTAATCCTGAGTCTATGCTTGCTTACTGAATATGTGTGCACATTTGCTTAGATAAAATAAGAGTGGTGCTTGCAGCCTGTAGATCATAGGCAATATCTGACCACCGGCTCCATCACTCCCTCTACTTCCACAGTGCCATACATATGCTTCTTTATAAATCCAAGAACATGCTCTGCTCACTCATTTTGCACCATGTTCTGAAAATCTGTGTCTAGTAGTACCATGTATTATATAAGCATGGATTTTTGTTCATGTTTTTGTCATAAAAACGCTCCTACCTCTGCATTTTTTTATCTTGCACTTTTCCGCCCTTTCCATGAAAGGTTTTGTAATTGTGTCATATTGACATAAACATGTAAAATGTGTGATGTCGTCCCTGAGCAATTCATTTCTGTGCATCTTTTCTGACCGCTGAATTTCATTGGGGTTTTCAACCAAGTTCGTCTGTCCATCCGTTTTCTGAATTAGTTTGGGTCTGTCACATTCATAACAGAGAAGCAATCAATCATTCATACTCACATCCACATGTATGGCCAAACTAGGATCACAGATTAGCCTAAGATATATAATACATTGCCAAAGGTATTCACCCAGCAGTGCAGATATTGAATTAAGGCGTTCCAATCACTTTCATGGCCACAGGTTTGTAAAATCCAGCACCTAGGCGTGCAGACTGCTTCTACAAACATTTGTGAAAGAATGGGTCAATCTCAGGAGATCAGTGAATTCCAGTGTGGCACTGTGATAGGATGCCGCATTTGCAACAAATCCAGTCATGAAATTTTCTCATTACCAAATATTCCATAGTCAACTGTTATTGGTAACAGCAACTGGTGACATCAGCAAAATAGCCACAAAGTCTTAGGCCACATAAAATCCCACAGCACAGCTGAGGGGCATAGTGCCGCAGAGGTTGTCAACTTTCTGCAGAGTTGATCACCACAGACCTCCAAACTTCATGGCCTTCAGATTGGCTCAGAAACTCAGCATAGAGAGATTCATGGAATAGATTTCCATGGCCGAGCTGCTGCGGTGGTTGCCAGGAGAACGGTACTTGTCGGACCTCACTGTGCCAAGTTTAAAGTTTGTTTGAGGAGGAATGATGCTGTGGGGTTGTTTTTCAGGAGTTGGTTCGCCCCCTTAGTTCCAGTGAAAGGAACTCATAATGCTTCAGCATACCAAGCCAAGACATTTTGAACAATGTCATGCTCCCAACTTTGTGTGAACAGTTTGGGGATGGCCCCTTCCTGTTCCAACATGGCTGTGCACAAAGAAAGGTCCATAAAGACATGAATGAGGGAGTGTGGTGTAGAAGAATGTGACTGGCCTGCACTGAGTCCTGACCTCAGCCTAATAGAACACCTTTGGAATGAATTAGAGCAGAGACTGTGAGCCAGGCCTTCACGCCGCATCCTTGCCACAAAGGCACAGGGACACCCCAGGCAGGATAAACCCTATTGCTGTGAGGTGATAGCACTGCATCACCGTGTTGCCTCCAATGAAGTTAATTTTTAAATTGTAACAATTCAACATTGAATTTAATTTCCAAGTCATCTGGGTTTGATGTTAAAACCTGAGTAACGCAGGTTTATTTTTGCACTTTGTATAATTTTAAAAACAAAAAAATGTGCTCAGCACACTGTTGTTGTACTGTAATGTAAAATTATTTTTTTGTGTGCATTTGTTCAATTAATTGTATGACCATGTTTGTATGTGTTTTCGACCTGCGACAAGGTGATGCCACAAGGTGGTGCACTTGTGGTACTTTGAGTTTATTTATATTAAATGTATGGGGGGGAACATCTTACAGCTATGCGTGTGTTAAGCTATACTTGTCTGTAATTTGCATGTCACAATTAATAAATTTTTCAATTTAAACACATAAAATAATTATTGTAGCCCATCTTTCAGGTTAGAAGACTGAAAACAAATTATATTGTGCATGTAATGTCACATGATCTACTTTGCCTTCTAGGGCTATGTAGAAGGTGTGTCTATGAATGAGATTTGAATCATGAGGAGTCAGAAACACCAGTAGTTAAGTCATAGAGAGGAAGCAGGTTAATTTTTCAGCTTTTTCTGTGATATAATCAGTTACATTTCTGACAACAAGAAACAGCAACAAAAGATGTTGGAAAATACATTAGTGGAATATATGGATACATCTGACACCCCTTGGTGCTGGTATTACCTTGCTGACTGTGGACAGTGGCACCAGTTTGAGGTAATTTGTGTATTTCTTTAGATCACATTATCTGGTTCCATAATGTCAAGTAAAGCTTATGTTTCTAGTGTCTTGTCCCTTTTCTGTAGGATGACCCCGATCTCCCCTTTAGCAGTGAGGCTGTTGAAAATTTTTACCTGAAAAACTCCAAGGCTGTTTTAAACACATCATCTTTCAGTTACAGGGGCCAGATTGATTTCTCTGGTAATTTTTGTGCATTTTCATCCTCACAGTCTTCATTCACACATTAAGAACTTGGCTCAGATTAATACATGTGTTTTTGTGCAGCGATGCTACTGACAGACCTCACCGCAGGGAGGCAAAAAAGAATCAGGAGAAGCTACAACACAGAAAAAAGGTAAACAAGAAATGTACATTCTCAATTGTAACAGCAGTGAGGTTTACAAGTTAGCGTCAGTATAGTTTCTATCAAAATGAAAGTGAAAGTTTCAGCACAATGGAAACTTAACTCTCCTCCGGCAGGTGTTCCTGTTTCAGCCTTGCTCCTGTTTTCTGGGAATCGTTTGATCCCGAATCGCCATACCAGGTGACAAAAATGTTACTTAATGTCCAAAATATCTACAGCTAGAGCACAAATATACAATACAGTTAGAAGCATAGATTAAAACCGCAGATATTTCAGCAATAACTGATTTCGGATACTTTTTAAAGTTAATCCCTCTGAGTGAACACTCCCCCGAGTATTGGACAGTGAAACATTATGTAAAGACCGATGGGCTGTTGGACAGAACCATTCTGTCAATCAACAGGATACAGAATTTGGATCTTTGGGAATTATATTGCAGGTAAGTTAAGTTTTACACTATGTTTTTTGTTAATAATTTCTTTTCTTTATTACCATTATTTTTCTATTTGCATCAAAGGAAAAAGAAACAGCTGATGAGGATTCAAGGCATCAAAGAAATTCAAGAGAGACGACTCTTTCATGGGACTGATATTAAAAATGTGGATTATATTTGCAAGTATAACTTTGATGTACGGTTAGCTGGACAACATGCCCACGTATTTGGCAAAGGTAAGTTCATTGTTTTGTGCAAAAATGAATTTCTAACTCTTTACCATTTCTTCTGTCTTTTTTCTTCCCAGCTGATCTAAGTTTCTTTTTTACATAGGAATTTATTTTGCCAAACATGCAACATTAGCCGACAAATACAGTCCGAGCAGCTTGGAACCACTGCCAGTTTATGGCAGGAAAACACAACTTGTACACTCTGGAGAAACTAAAATTATATTTTTGGCTCGGGTGATGACTGGAAAACCAGTTGCTGGACGATCTCATTTCCAAAAACCCGATCATGGGAGTCCTGAAAACTTGCATGACAGCTGTGTTGATGATGTCTCTCATCCTAATATTTTTGTCGTTTTTGATCCAAATCAAATATATCCGGAGTATGTGATTCAGTACAGCTGAGCGCAACATGTGCAAGATCAACATGGCTACCTCAAACGGTACATTTCAAGCACAACTCCTGATGGCTTCAATGAAGTTTTTACAGCATTTTGACTACATTTTAAACATTTTTAGAAAAATTTCCAGTAAACTAGGTCGTTTTCAGCAAGATAATCTGTCAGCAAAGTTATCGTTACATTTCATTACTTTGGATCAGAAGTACTAATAAAAATGAGTTTACTTACCAGGTGCTACTGCTTAGTATTAGAATAGTTGAATATAATACTTGTGGTCATGTAATGTAGATTCCCATCTAATTTATTTCTATTTAATTTAGTAATAATATAGCTTCATAAATAAATAAATATGCCAGCAGAACCAAATCAAAGTCTACATGTGTGTTTATTCCTGTTCTAATGTTTATGTTTGTATTTGTGCTGGACATAACATTCACACGCATTTTAAAATAACATGCGAGGTTAAAGAAATCAAATTGTTGTTCATCTTTTTTACATATATGTGGACAAAAAGCTTTCATGGGGCTCTGTGAAGGATGTGGAAAAACAACGTATGATTCAGTTACTTTAGAAGCACCTTTATCAGCAATAACCTGAAATAATAATTTTATGTTTGATTCCGTCAGTCTTTCACATAAGAAATTGAAATTGTAAAGAGATTTTGATCTACTCTTCTTTACAGAGTTCCTTCACTTTTTGAGGTTTGTGAGCAGTTATTTATGTTCAGCTCTCTTAAGGTCACGACACAGTATTTCATTCACGTTGAGTTCTGGTCTTTGACTAGACCACTGCTTTTTTTAGCCAGTCTGTTGTAGATTTGGCTTGGCTTGGGATTGTAGTGTTGCACTTACCCAATTTTGGCCAGGCTTTAGTTGGCAGACAGATGGCCTCAGATTTCACTCTAGTACACTTTGGTATACAGACTGCATACCAAAGGCTGACTGCAAGGCTCCCATATACTGATATACTGTAGCTACAAAATAAGCCCAAATCATCACCCCTCCCCCTCCGTGCTTAACAGTTAATATGAGGTTTTTGTATAGATATGTTTTCACCAATCTCACCCTCATGTTGTTGGGATAGACTCCAGCCCCCCTTGGATAAGCTGAAATGGATGGATGGATTGGTGTTGTCAACAAATATTGCTGTGCAATATTGCTAAACAACTCCATTTCGGTCTCATCTGTTCAAAGGACTTTGTTACAGAGGTCTTGTGGCTAGTTCAGAAACAACTCCAAACAAACCATACTGTTCAGTCTTTTTCTAAATGTACTGTCATGTAATTATACAAAAAATGTCTCATTCTAGGAGTTTTTTTATTTTACGACATCAGAAAAGTTAATCAACTATTGAGATTTTAAATATTTTCATGCTATAAACACAGTAACCTACACACAGATATTCATTTTGTGAGATTTTGCCAGCTGTGCATGTTGAGAACCAAACCTGCACAATCAATAAATATCACAGAGAACATCTGTGCCCATCTGCTCCAGCAATAAAACAGCATTAAGCACAAAATCTTCCTTATGTGAAAGAACTCATTACATGTGCTATAATATTTCTAAATTGGTACAGTTAAGGCTACGAAACGCGTGTTCATTATAGAAGTTTCTGTTTCACCACAAAACAGAAACTTCACTTGAAAACCTGTTTCACAGCTATATGCTGTATATTTTTATAACCATATATGTCACAACAGGCATTTTCCATTCACACCCAAAGCAAATACTCCCCCATACCAACAAGAAGTCTCAATGAAATAAAATTTAAACGGCCATGCCCCCACTCACTACACACACCCCTTTGTTTAACACGTGCTTAAAATGATTGGCTGTAGTTTACCGAAACTGTCAGGAGAGGTTGCTGTTGATACAGTTTTCATTCATTCTTGGCACAGGTCAGCATCAGTTGGTCTGCATTAGATGTATCAGTTTGTCTTGGCAATTTATTTTTACTATTATAAGTGGAAAGAACATTAACTGAATTACCAGATTTAGATTTACAGTTTTAAGGTACTTAACTTTTCATTTTATGCAACTTTATCCTCCCGTTCCACTGCATTTATTTGCAAAATTGGGCTGCTAGTTAGTTAGTTAGGATTTTTTGATGTAATTCAGACCTTTGGTTTCCAACATTTCTGACTTGTGCCCCTTTAAAGATCTGACATATCTGCGAGTTTCTAATAGCCACACAAAAGAGGTTACTAGAAAGAGATATTATACTGTACATCAAACACAGGGATCACATTTTATGCAGAACAAGTGTTTTATATTCTCTTAAGTCTTCAATAAAGTTTTTCTTAAATCTTTTTTAAATAGGTTTCTGTAATAGTAATCCATCAGTATGTGCAAGATCTTTAATAAAAATGTTATTTTTTAATGCTAAATCTTAAAAAAATTAACTATTTAATAACAGTAAACAATATTTTTATTATTATTTCATTTTTTGATTAAGATGTCAAATTACAGTTATACTGAACAAAAAATGTGTTAGCGTTTTAATGATTTATGGCAGGAAAGTACAACTTGTTGACATTAATGCACATGTTTTTAAGAAATGCTGATGAAATTCAGTTTGCTGATACACGATATAAGGAACTGCCCATGTGCCTTCCCCCTACTCCCATATGTTTGCTGCAGGTGAAGTGGAGATGGTCGAACCGTTTATCTGACCCTGCCTCATTTTCACACTCATAGTGTGGTTTTTAGTAGTTTAACAGTGTTTCCAGCTGTTGCTCCCAAAGTATCTGGCAATAATCGAACCTCCCGCACACACATGCAGCCCTCATGTGTGAATCCCTTTCATCTCCTGAAACACAAACAGTTTCTTACAGTTAATTGGCGGTTGAGTGTAAAGTACAGTAAGAAGCACAGATGGCCTTGACTAAATTAGACAGGGGCCGATTTGTCAGCTGTAGAGTCAGATTTTTAATTCTAGTGTGACATAAGAAGTGAAAGAATTTTTCATTTTTTGTTGAATAACATATGGGGAAAAAATAATTTTATATTGTTTGGTAAGTTTGTGTGGCTGTGCCCTGATTGGATGGACCTGTTTTCCAGAGCCAGGTCATCAGCGCTCATGAAACTATTTGACATGAATTAATTGGTCCTCTGGGTATGATGGACTCATTCAATCCAGCAGATGGTGTTTCAACACAAATGTCTTTCAGCACATAATGAGCACATACTTTATTCTGTGCTGTTATTCTTCTTATTATTACATAACAAAATATGTCCTTACAGACTTATGCTAACTTGGAATGCACACTTTAAAATGTTAGAAACTAGGACTTTGAGCTCATTCAACTCAATAAGTGAGTCAAGTTTGATATCCTCTTAAATATTTACAGCTTGGTGTGCTCAGAGAGTCTGGCATGTGATTACAAAGTCTTTGATGTCTGCTTGATCAGATGATATCAACATGTTGAGTTTATGAAAAGACCAACTCTAATTAGTGGATCAGTATGTGTGCGTGTGTGTCAGTGACAGAGCGGGGAGACTGAGACTGTGGCACTATTCACTTCTAATGAAACCAAGAGTAGGTAACAGGGTAGGAGAGAAAATTACATTTCAGTTCTCAAATACTCAACATTGTTGAGAGTCTTCATGAGATGGAATAAATCCTGGAATGTGGTAATTTAAAAAAAAAAAAAAGCTTCATTTAGCTTCATTTTATTTTATTTATCACGCTGACCTTTATCAGAATATCAGAGATGGTGCCGGAGCTACCTGAGCTGGGGCATGTCATGGTCATGGTCATGCCATTAATAAAAAGGAGAGCTGATGCTGCCGTAGTGCAAGCCTCGGTCTGAGCAGCAATGATCCAGCTGGGAGTGAGGAAAACTCCACCTGCTGATTGACTGTCCAGTGTTCTCCTGGATGATCTACTCCCACAAAAAAAAAAGTGTTGTTGCAATAGGAACTGTTTGCTCCTACTGTCCTGAGCATAGCATGAGGCAAACTGTGTACTTTAACTACATGAAGTCTGTTTATCTGTGGTTGTTGTCCAGTGCCGAAAGTAAAAGTGCTCATTATGTGGAGTGATGCTTGTCAGACTAACATATACATATTATTTATATACAAAATACACATGATATTAACTGATCATAATTATAAATGTATTCATGTGTATCCTTTCAATGCTGCAGCTCCTAATGGTTTCATTGCATATACCATATAATACTGGACAGTATGGCTAGTATGACTTATAACAACACAGTTTATCACCAACAGTAGACTAAAGCTTTAAAATATAAGTGCAGAAAATCAAACCAAAATATATTTGAGTAAAAGCAGATATTATAATCTGAAAATCCCTGAAATACGATCCCCCACCCCCCACCACTGCAAAGGAAGTGCTCAAAAGGGCCTGGACTGATTTAGCAGCTCCTAGGTCCAAACCAGATGGAAGCTAAGTACAGCCTGGAGAGGAGACACAAACTAATTAATTCAATACAAAGGTTAAAACTAGCATTTTTAATCAAACTCATGATTAAAATGTCATATCTGGCGTGGCAGCAACAAACATACATTACAGCTATGTTAAAAGTATTGTGTTTAGTGTTGTGTGGGCCACAGAAGGTTGGTCACGCCGGTAACGGCAGGTCAGAAATGTGCAACTTCACGACAAGCATTATGTACAGAAATGCACAGAGGAAGCACAGAGTGGACACAGAGTCAATAAATATGAAGACTGAAGAGTAGAGGAGAGGTGCAGTGGGAGATCCCACAGCAGCAGGAGCCTGAAGCAGCATAACTGAGATAATGGAGGAACAACTCCAAGAGGGTGCCTGTCTCTTAACTAGCAGTTGGTTACACAAGAGAAGACCCTGATGGCTGAATGCTGTTGATATATATCTTCATTCCTAATGCTTTATGGTAATTCATGTATTCAGCTGCTGTTCATATAGCATTTTATATACCAGCATTCTGACATATAGTACTAACCTGTCACTTCTCAGAAGACTTGTGGAAGACTTATTACACTTCACACTAGTCTTGTCAAAACAGCTCTGTCTGTAATTAGTCTTGTCAGTTCTCTATTACATGTGCAAATCTAGTCTCGGGGGCTTGGTACGTACTTTGATGCTTGACTTAACACTCATATTTTGACTTCCTTTTTTAGGGGAAAGGTTTAGTGTTCTGGACAAATGTGTTTCTATAACATTTGTTGAGGCTGGATACAATGCAAACATTGGTAATAATTGTAAATTTCT